CACGGAAGCATTAAATGCAGGAAATGGAAGGACAATTAGAAATTATCACTCCCTTAAAACAAACAAAAAAGACCCAAAAGAAATGCTGTGTCTGTTTTGGATATAATTGTCTGTGACTTTAACCACTCATGCCTACTGAGTTTAGCAGCAATTCAGATAGTGTAGTAAATCTTTTACTCAGAATACATCTATTAAAAATTTCCTTTAAGAATGGCATATTTTTCTCCTCTGAAATTTTATTTGATAATATTTTATTTGGTGTTGTTTTAGAAGAAAATTTTATGTCATTTTTCCCAGATGTAAAGATAGGAGAAGGAGGGATGCTGTAGGTTAATGTGCAAATTATCTACTAATAAAAATTCCTTTTTAAAACTTTTGTCAAAATGTTTACTATTTTAGCAGTGGATATAGAGAAGAGAAAAAAATGCTGTATTTCCATTGTACATTTGACTGATATCACTGTTTTATTGAAATTGCCTGGGAAATCTTGTTTTAGATAAAAGAGCAGACTGAGTCCCTCTCTGCTTCTAAAAACTCATCTTACAAAGAAAGTTATGTTCCACCTTCAAATGAAAGAAGGAAAATTTTATCTGAAATAAAAAAAAATATTTAAACTAGATTTAAATTAAATATAAAAATTTTGGGTGCAAAATTGATGAGTATTGTCACAATAGTCCAAATTCTGAATTACACTATAATACTTAATGGTGTAGACATTTAAATTTATCTGCTTTCAGAAGGAAGAAAACTGACTCACTCATACTAACCACCACTTATTTTATTAAATGATTATTTTAAGGACATTAGACGGAAGGAAGGAAAACACTACTGATAAGAAAGAAATTCAACCTAAGTGTAAATCTAAAATCTAAAGGAAAGATACCATATAACACTTGCAGACAAATTTTCTATTCTTTTAAATCTGCCAAATTTTATCATGGTTTTCAAAATAAAGTTGGTATAATACTCAATATATTAAAGCATAAAATCTAACATGATTTATTTTTCACAAAGTTTCTAATAATATTTAATGTTTTAATGTCATTAAATTTAATATTTTACCTTCATTTTCCTCGTTACTTCTTATAACATTTAATAATCTACCTATATTTTTCTCAGTGAATATCCATGCAAACTTTAACTTTTTATATCAGTATTATGTTTAAATATAAAATGTTTTATTAATTAAATAAAAGTAAAAATATTCTAGAAAAATATTTTTAAGAACTCAATGTTTAAATGTATGACTCATAAAGTAACTTATTTTTATTTTGTAATGTTTCCATTAAACAAAATAATGCCATATTCCTATTAGAATTAAAATAACCAAAAAACAAAGAGAAAAATAGACTAGTTCAAAT